ATCACATCTTTCAGCACCAAGCCACCACCCCTCTGAAGGTCTGACTGCAAGCAAACCCAAGTATTGCTGTGGGAAGGGGTCACAATTCTCCAGCAGAGACTGTGACTCTGTCCGTCCCATCAGCCCAAGTACATTCATGATGGGACTTGTGTCAGATTGGGCTTGGCCATTCCAAGGGATTTAATTAGCAGTTAAAGAAACAACAATCTGCCTGGTTTAAGCACATTTGAAGAGTTACCTTGCTGTCTTCCTCAGTAATAAACTGTTCTTGGCTAAGGTCATCTTTCATCTGCACAGTAAATAAAACTGTCAGCTAAAGTTGAGTTTCTGTTTCTCATCAGTCAAGCCATACAATAAAACTCAGAGCAGCATATTTAGACAACGATTTTGAGAAAGCAAGCAAATCTTAAGGAAGTTTTAGTATAATCATTTCCTCTCAGTTGATCAACATAACAGACACAGTAATTTAGCTGGGGAAATGTGATATAAAGCTTACAAGCCTGATAATCAGATTGTCTTCAGAGACAAAAATCAAGCTGGTTTTCCAGACCTCACCATAACCATTAACTAAATACTTACCATCTCTTCACTTAACATCTGAAGAACATTTAAGCAAAAATCCAGCAGTTTCAAGAAAAAAAACCCACCTCCTCTAGCTTGCCTGTTTAATTCTAGTTCTATCGTGTAGGAAGTTTTACTGCTGTCAAACAACATTTCTCATCTTTGTAAGAAGGAATTCAACTGGAAATATTAAAATATTTTCAACATGCTGCTTATTTTTATCTAGAGGAAGATAAATTATTATATGCATGCAAGTAGTAAAAGCAGTTGCCAGAAAAAATAGGATTTATTCCCACCATACCTGCAATACATTAACCACTACATGAAAATATTTCTCTTTCCAAAACAATTAGCCTAATTTGTAGTGAGCTCACACAGACTTTCACAGTACTACTCTGCTGCAGATTATTACTTGCCTAAAATATGATGCTTACATTTCTCCAGTACATTAACAAACAGTATTGTTTGAGAGGGGAAAAACAGATAGAAATATTATACCCTTTACTCTGTGATTCTCGCAAACACTAGATAATCCTACACCAGCCAAAACACAATGATTCAGGCTGCCAAAACAAGTATTTACTTTCCCAACATTCTGATAGCGTTTTACGTAAACACAAAAGCAAACCTGGTATGGTCTGAAATCAGACTATAGCTCTGCCGCTCGTTTCATGCCTGTTCTCTCCCAGCACATTCCACTTCTTAAAACCCAGCACGTCGGCAGAGCCTTTACAAAAGAAGTTGCACACCTTGATCTCGCCAGGGCTTAGGAGGTTGTCTCTTTTGTTTGTTCATATTTTTTAAACAGATGGAATAAAATCTCAATTTCCCTTAATATAATACAAAAGATAGATAATAGCATATGGAAAATGCTAGAAAAACCCTGCTGTCTGGTCCACATCACCATACCTGTTAGCACAATCTAGAATTTACTTCCACGGTTGGGAAAATGCATTTTGTTTCTTTCTTTATGCATGAATCCACTCTCACCATCAGTCGATGGATCTTCCATTAGTCCTAGTTGTCTTTTGGGGAAGATCAGCTGCCCATCAGCTGCAGGGGCCTCTCTCCCGCTGTCCTGCAGCTCCGTGTTGGAGCTCTCTGCCTGGGCAGCCACGGGGGCATGCACGTTGACTCAGGGTACTGAGATCTCCAACAAACCACCATCCAGAGTAACTGCATTTAGGAGCCTCTGTCCCCATGTAGATTCATTACCAGAATAACTAAAGTTAGTGCAAGTTTGCCCCCAAAGTCTCCAATGACTAAACAAGACCACCAGCTCAGGCAGCACGTTGGGCATGAAGAGCTCTTCACTTCTGCGTGGAGACGGAAGGCGTGATGAGCCCCTCTAGCACTGCACAGCCCCATGCCCTGCGTTGCAGGAGGTCCCCTGCGCCCAGCTGGCATTTTCTGCTCCACAGACCCAGCCCCACTTCTGCAAGTGAGAGCCTGGGGAGATTTCCCTAACAGCAGCATCCTAAGGGACTCACCAACTGTGGGAGTAAATCCCAAAGCCCTTGTCCCGTGCGAGGTCCGGCATGACCGCTGCCCAGAACAAGCCCCAGGTCCTTGAAATGACGACTGACCCACCCAACTCCAAGTTCATAGAGCTTTCAATTCCTTCACCTCCTGTTTCACTGGGGAGAGAACAGCTTGTCCTATTTCTTGTAAAAAGAGTGCCAGAGATAGGAATATTTATAAGGAATTTGTATCTATCTATCCCAACCCAAACATTCAAAAATCATGACTCACAATCCCCTCCCAAATCATGGGATTAAATTAACATATCATGGGATTTTGAAAGATGCTGTCTTAAAAATTATGGAATACTGTATACTTTGTGTTACTCATTACTTTATTTACACAGTCAGAAACTACAGTTTTTATCAACAGTTAAAAGAGCCAGAAACTCACCTAGTGAAAAAAAAAAAAATCATCATCACATATTCATAAGATTCGTGGAGGCTGGACCTTTTAAAATAGTCCAAGTGTTACAATTCATCACATGTAAATTTATGGGACTTGGCAACAATGCAGTTGCCTCCAATGATGGTGGAAGAGGGGGAGTGCTCTTGGTTAACCTCTTTTTTTTTAAATAGATACAGCATGCTGAAAGTCCCCTACTAAGTATTTCCTAAATAAGCCCATTGATTAATTTAGAGCACTATGGAAACACACAGCACAGCATGCTTATCAATGCCCAGTCACTAAATATTTTGATGTTTGTTAACCAACACTAGATGCATTCTGGAAAAAGACAAACTGGAAAATAACACTACAATTTTTGAAAGCATGTCCTTTCCATGCCTGTTGCCTAGAGCAAATCAGAGGTGGGAAGCCAGGTTTAATAAAAAGTAGAGGAGAACAGACCAGCTTTGGAGCGGCCATTCACTTTTTTTGTTAAAGGCAAAGAGAATTTCATGGGAAAAAAAACCCTGTACAGTATAGTGGGTTTTTTCCCAAAATAAAAACTAATCTTTAACCAATTTTACAAATCAAAAGATGGTGGATGGAAGGGAAGATTACTACTTTTAGCATTTTTTTCCTTATTTTAAAATTTGAAATATGAAAAATCACAACTATTCCTACCTATCACCGACACCTGCTGTTCCAGACATGGTCAGTGCTATGTCTCAGCCTGGCCTGCACGAGTTCAGCCTCGCTTTTGCTTTTTAATCCCACAACGCTGGCTGATGGCTATTATTACTTTGTGCCTTTGTACTAGAGGCTACAAACTTCAGTCCTTAGGCGAGCACACAGCGCAGGTGAGGTGACAGGCACAGAAGTCTGGTGGCATCGCACACCGCTCATAGCTTTGCTGCCAGTCGCGGCGGGCAGCACACAAGCAGCCCCGCCGTCAGCTCCACGAGAAGCCATGCAGCATGGCGCTGCATTTCAGAGAGGTGTTTTCAGATACTGCTGTCAGAGCCTTCCTCTAGCAGGTACCGCATGCCAATAACTGGAGCTGATCTATAATTTATGCTTCTCTGTGTACCAGACTCCTACTCCTGAGGAATATTTACCATCCAAAAACAAAAATACTGCCATAAGGTGTGAATAAAATCAAGTCTCTTTTGTTTAAGAGGAAACACAGTGACTGGCTGATATTTTCCAACACTGCAATAATTTTATAAACATCTACTAACAGAGCAACTTCCATCCTATGATTCTGGGATTGTGGCACTCAGATTCCTGTGTCCCCCAGCTCTGCTCCAGAACGTGTACGAAGGCAACCAGAAGAGCCCAACACAGCACTGCGTCAGTCACAAAATTCATGGGTCATTTTGATGCCCAAAGTGGAAAAAAAAAGTTAGTTGAATGTTACTGATTGCTTTCTTTTTTCTCCCCGTTCCAACTTGGACATTGAGATATTTATATTGTTCACTTGGCCCTAATTTCATTGCCTCATCTCTGTGAATATCTGTTCCTTCAAGTGGTTTCTGGGGATTACTATACGCAAGAGTAGAGTATAGAGTAGAATTTTTACAACAGGTACCATACTCTTTGTCTTTTGAAAATTATTAAGGTAGCATAGTAGAGGGATGGGGATCACTGGGAAGATTTCTACAAAGGACAATCTAACACACAGCATTATACTTGAAAATGTATTATACTGAAATAAGATAATACTAGGGTATGAGTGGCAAATAACTCTGCAGTTTGGTACACACATTTGGAACAAAAATGTAGCTATTTGGTTGTTTCCACTCAAATGACCCAGTTAATCTCAGTGTTAACATCAGCTGTCAAAACATCCACTTACCAGATTTGCATCCCTTATTTATTCAGAAAAAGAGGGGCAACATCCGAGCAGTTACCAGAGAAATAGAAAATACTACATAGAACAGGTGTTTATGTTTAGCTCCTGTTATTCCATCACTGTCTATCACATACTTAGTACATTAAATTCCACACTTGGAAATAAATCAAGAAAGTTTGTGTTCATATCTGAAGATACCATTATTTCCCTGTTGGGATTAAATCCAGCCCAGCGAAGACAGTGTCAATGAGAAGCCCGTGTACTATGTCAGCCTTGGTGTCCTTGCTGCAGCCTTCCAACGCGGCCTTTGCAAAGCCAGCACTGCTACCCGTCCCCAACGTGCACAGGCACCTCTGCACCGCTGCTCCACCCACCATCCCCTTCCTCTGCTCTGACCCGGGGACTCCCTGGGACACACGACTTTATGCTGGCTATCTCCAGAGCCAACGAAACTCTTTAAAGCATACACAGTTCCACCATTCTGAAGATGGTTTTGGCTGCTGCAATGCTTGCTTACCCCAGGTAAAGTGTTCAACTCCTTCCCTACCTTTTCATCCACAGAGGGAGAAGAAGACATTTCCATTTTCAATGATAAAAAAGCCAGAGATAGCAGATCACATTGGCTACAGGCCTTCAGCTACACTTTATACATCAGCTGGCATTAACATCTCTGCCTTACCTTTATACAGTGTATCCGCATTCTCAGTAGGAAGCTGCTTCTTGGCAGCTGCTCTGCGATAGACCACGTGCGTTCTGCCTTCTCCCTCCTCCTCCTCCTGGGCCCCCTTCTCCAGAGGTTCGATGAAGAACTCGTCCTTGTCTGTGCGAATCATGCCAGCCTGCAGCGACAGGGCAGAGATCAAACATTTTGCATTACTGCACATACAGGAGACGTGAGTAAACAGTTACAATATGCTTAAGCACACTTTAGTGCTCTCTAGAGAGCAATTAGGATGCAGAGAGGAAACCAGGTGAATTCTTTATTAGAGCAAAAAGAAGCATCATTTCTCCAACTTGACAAGAAAGGACAAAAGGTACAACCCTGAACCAAAAGGACTTCTCCTCGAACCACATGAGCGAAGTACAGGTCTAAGAATCTGCCTAGGAAATACACTCCCCATTAGAAACCAGCTACAATGAAAGTTACTATGACCTTAGCTATCTGTCAGGCCCAGACCACTCCAGTGTTTACTACCTCTGCTAAATAAGGATCAGTTCAGTGCCATAAGCCGGTCCTGATGTGCAGTTCAACAGTCAAAAAACGTAGAGTCAGCCTTTCCGTTCAAAAGCAAGACAGAAAAGTACTACATCTTACATGCAGGCAACTAAGCTTTGTGATTATTTCCCCCTTCACACAAAGGGTTCAGCTGACAAAACACTCTTTCAAGAATTAGCCACAACTAGTTTAAAAAAGGTGTCAGTAGTGCATTTCTAAGAAATAAAAACTTTATTAAAAAATAAAAATTCAGACTGGACGATACCTGGCCAGCTACAATGAAAGTTACTATGACCTTAGCTATCTGTCAGGCCCAGACCACTCCAGTGTTTACTACCTCTGCTAAATAAGGATCAGTTCAGTGCCATAAGCCGGTCCTGATGTGCAGTTCAACAGTCAAAAAACGTAGAGTCAGCCTTTCCGTTCAAAAGCAAGACAGAAAAGTACTACATCTTACATGCAGGCAACTAAGCTTTGTGATTATTTCCCCCTTCACACAAAGGGTTCAGCTGACAAAACACTCTTTCAAGAATTAGCCACAACTAGTTTAAAAAAGGTGTCAGTAGTGCATTTCTAAGAAATAAAAACTTTATTAAAAAATAAAAATTCAGACTGGACCAGATACCTGGCATGAAAAAAAGAGAAATTTGCATTTCTGCAGAGCACCTCAAAAGAACATCACCCAAGCAATTCTCACTGTGTTCAGGGGAAACCCTCATAAAGACTGAAAACTGTAAAAAGAAAAAGTCTTTTCATCATCTTCATGCAGGTGAAACAACTTGGGCACCTGGATCGCCTGCATTTGTCTCCTCTTGCAGTCCTGCCCTACTGCAGAAGGTCACAGCAGCCAGTAGCTGGCTTGCAGAGATGGCTGGCTTGAATCAATTTTTCTGTATATGTTTGCACATCTGTGTTTGAGAACTTAAACTAATGAACTCTCAGCCTGTAAACAGAAAGTCTTATTACTAATGTGAAAGAAATTGTTTAGATTATTATTGAGAGAAGCCCCAGGTCCAACCTTCAGAAGCTCCTTCATCACACTCTTTCCCACTCTGCCCACTGATGATCCTGGAGTCACTGGACTTTGAAACTGGGCACAGGAGAACATCTTGACACTGTGACACACTTCACCTTCCTATCTGAGCTTCTGGGAGCCTAAATCCTCTGCTGGGTGAAGCCGTACTTCAAGCTTCCAGGAGAACCAGTTTGGCTCCTTTGAACCCAGTATTCTCACTTGAAACAAGTATCATCTAAACACTCGTCATATCCCAGCACTAAAGTTCTCATACAATGCATATTTTTCTTCTACAAGCAGCAAACTATATTCCTACTGCTATAAATACAGTATGTTCTTTGGTTCCCTCCTTGGAAAAATGTCAGGTTCATTTGTCATGTCTTAACTTACACTAGGCAAGATTTCCAGTCCCAGATTTCATATATATAATGTATACAAAAACAGATTGAAGGGAAAGGATTAAAGAAGCAAAAGTATATCGAAGCAATTTAAACTGATGCTATCCTGCCTGTACAGAGGAAACTGAATTTGAAATCCTGTCCTGTTTCTTCTTATCTAATTTAGATTCTACATCAGACACAAAAAAGGTGAGACAGGCTCAGAAGCTCAAGGAAGCTAAGACAACCAAGAAAATAAGTGCTGAACCCAGAGAGACAGCAACTGATCTTTTACTGTAAAGAAGAATACATGAAAAATTCAGAATTTATATTACTCTCCTTTTAATGTATATTTTAACTGTAAACACACACACTTCTTCTGGATATTAAATATTACACCCAGAAATTTTAAAGTCTTTTTATGAGAAATGCACAACTAAAGATCAAGAAGGAACAAGCATTTGCATGCTCAACTGCACAGAGTACGATGCACATGCCATACATACGCCCAGGAGAAATACACAGAGCGCTTGACTGTCATGTGAAAAAAAAAGTGATTTTGCTTTTTGCAAGTAAGCTACATGGTTGCGCACATGTTCATATTTCTGGATTTATTTAACCTACTATTAACTAAGCAGCTAATGCCAGATCGTAGTTTAAAATGCAGACCATACTTCAGGATCCTGGGGGAAACGCTGCTGTACACTGCATGCAGCAGGAGGTACTGATGGGAGTTTGGAGGAATTTAGATCTTCTAAGAAAATTAACAGATAGGCAACTTCTACAATCAGTAGTTGAACTGATTAGACAGAAGAACAACTTTTATAGGTGAAATTTAGCTTCCAGGGCATGGTGGTCTTTTGGAAAACAAAACATGTGGTCAGAGTGAAGATTCCCCCCTGAGAAGATGAAGACGACACCCTGGGACAGACTGTAAGACTAAACAAAAGAGATATTTGAATGCTGGTTCCCAAGACATAAAACCAGTGGTCAAACGCTGATGTTTCCTGCAGATCATTGTGCCTGGTGCTGGCCCTTTTGCATGCAGGGGGATTCATGTGGCACTGAATACTGCCAAATAGCAGACCATCCATCAGGTGCTCTTATTTCACACTCTGCTTCTCAGATAGACACGACACCATGCTGTACATCCCCATGGCAGTATCCTCCCTAATTCTGCTGGAGTGTAGAAAGGAAGGAATTTAACCTTCAAACATGGTTGAATATTTCTTTTCTCATTTTAATCTTGGACTAAAATAACTTTGTCTCTTACACTGGAATTTCTTTTCCTGTAGTCCTGAGAAACACATCAATTATTATTGGTCAGAATTATTAGGAAAGAGTTTAGTGCGTGTTTGAATTGTAAAAGAATTATATATTTTTATATATTGTATATCCTACACAGTCTTTGATTTAGCCAATATATTCTCATGAAATAAAACAAGAAAAAATGGCTATTTAAGACTTTAAGAAGAAAATTCATCTAGACGGCAAGGCAGAGTTCCTGCAGCAATCCACAGTTCAAGCCATCCGCCTAATAATATACCCACAGTTATAAATTATTCATTAAGAAATATGTGGGGCTCCGGAATGTCTCCACCACACATTTCCTTGCTGCTTTGAGCAAGACATTTAACCTCTTTACTTCCATTTCTCCACCTCTGAACCAGCATAACAACAGTCTTCCAGGATAATTACAAGGGCCGATTTGTTATTTTTTTGCCAAGTGCTTTGAACATGAAAAGCTCAAGATGAATTGCCTAATGCATTTTTTCTGATACTACTCAGAACACCCTCAAAAAGCCACCATGAAAAGGAGGTTGCTTTTAGTCATCAACTCAACACCAGTGTTGCGCACAGCCAAGCAAGCAACATAAAGGCATCGCTCCGGCAGCACAGGTTTGCTCATGCCCTTCACCCATCAGTCCGGTTCTTATCCATGGACACCAGCACCCTTGTGCCAGCCTGTCATGCCAAGACAACTGTCAGACAACCACCAAGTTTATGATGACGACAGAGAGCATTAAAGTGGCTGCAATTTCCTGGAGAATGCCTCTGGATGACTAAAACAGAAATGCCATATTGTTTGAGCAAATCTGTGCCTTCCCTTTGACACAGGTTAGACAAGAAGGACTTCAGAAAATTCTTGGGCCATTGTCTGGACATTTACTCCAGGGGATGCGAAAGCAAAATTAAACCTTTCAATTATCAGTTTCCCCAAGTTCTGAACAGAAGAACAGTAGTTGCTTTCATGAACTAAAAGCTTAAAAGTAACTGCTTAACAACAGCGTCTTTCTGTCCTGTACTGCTCGTCGCCCATCCTGGGACTGCTGTACTTCCAGGAGTTAGGGATTAGTGGTGCCTCCCCTGCACTACCACCCTGCAGACACACAGGTGCTGTGTAATTCAGAACTAGGTGTGGGATTGAGCATCTCTGTGGAAAGGACTTCCAATTCTGGAAAAAACGCTGAGCTGTTACCTCTTCCCTTCCTCTTCTGGGACTTTTAACTTGAAACTAAAGTGAATATGGGAATATTGCTAAATAACAATGGCAGCAGCGACTGTGTCCTGTGACTAATAAAAATATAAATTAATTGAAAAAGTGTTTACCTTTGGAATGCACCAAACTGTAGCAAAGAGCCTATAATATCCCACTATTTCCCAAAGCAGGACATCCCCAGGCCTTCCTTCCAAGGGTTTTTAGATCCCAGCTGCAAATAACTCAAAACAAGCACTGCTTAGCACTCATTAATATGCATTAAAGACTAGAGCAGAAGACACTTAATCAAAGAATCAAAACCTCTGCTAAGGTTAGCAAGGCATTATTTAGAAGTGAAAGCCACACAGGAAAAAATTCACAAGGAAGGCAGAGAGTGACTGTCCTGTCTAATTAAGACAAGAATTACATCGATAAGCCACAAATGAGTCCATTGCAATACAGAGGACTGGGGTTTAGAGCTCCACTAATGTCTTTTGGGGGTAACAGGGCTCCTGCACATCCCTGAAGACCTGCTTCCAAGGCTTTCAAGGACCACAGGATCTACAGATACTGGCAATGGCAGTGGCCACATGGACCCTTCTCTACCACTCGAGCTTTACAAGGCAAGTCCACTGTGCCATCAGGTCACCATCTCCACTTGGGACTTTCTGCCCAAGGGAATTACACTAGTCCCACGCACCACAATGGAGACATCCTCTCCAGCCCAGGAGACCTGCCAACAGTTTGCCACC